ACCGACCACTCGAGCAAAAATGGTTACGGTAGTGGCAATAATGACGACGATGGTGACGAACATAAGTCTCTGGCTTCAGAAGAAAACCGACGGTCATCGTCTAGGTCGTCGTCGTCGTCGTCGTCGTCGTCGTCATCGTCGTCATCTTCGTCGTCGTCGTCGTCATCGTCATCGTCGTCATCTTCGTCGTCGTCGTCGTCATCGTCATCGTCGTCATCCTCGTCGCCGTCATCGTCGTCGTCGTCCTCCTCCTCCTCCTCCTGTTCCTCCCCCTCCTAATCCAAAGCACGATGCAAAGACATGCGGAAATCATTATTCAAAGAGTGTTGTAATGAAGCGGGAAATCCATTGTCTGGTCCATTGAGTTATCGGCGCTCCGGCGCCCCCGCCGCGCTCTCAAATGGCCGTCCTTCGGGACGTATGTCGGCGCCTCGCCTCGCCTGGCCTCTTAATCCACCTCGTCGTCCTCCTCCTCCTCCTCCCCTCCTCCTCACCTTCCTCCTCCTCCTCCTCCTCCTCCTCCTCCTCTTCCTCCTCCTCATATTCCTCCTCCTCCTCCTCCTCCTCCTCCTCATCGCCGCTGTCGTCCTTGTATCCCCCGCCCCCGCCCCCCCCGTCCCCCCCACCGTGATCCAGCAGACCTAGATCGCTAGATCGCTTAGATGGCCTAGGCGGACCTCTCTGGCTAAATGGTCCGGGATGCGGCTTCATACGGGTCCGACCCGCCCCCCCCTCCCCCCCTTTCGCCACGCCGCCCCCTGACTCCGGAACCGGACCCCCGCCACCCCTACCCCTAGTCCTCACCCTAGCCCAAACCCCGAATCCTAACCCCAACCACTAACCCCAGCCCCACAGAGTACTCACTACACTACCCTTTCCCCGCTACTGACTACTCGCTATTCGCAACTCACTTCTCACTACCCCCAACTCACTACTCACGACTCACTACTCACTACCCATTACTCACTACCCACCACCCACTACTCGCTACTCACTACTCCCTACTCACTACTCCCTCCTCCCTACTCACTACTCACTCCTCACTGCCCACTACTCAATACTCACAAAGCACTACTCCCTACTCCCTAGTCCCTACTCACTAATCACTAGTCATTACCCACTACCCACTATCCACTACTCACTACTAACTACTCACTGCCCAAAAATCACTACTCACTACCCACTACTCACTACTCGCTACTCCCTACACAAAACTGACTACACAGTACTCAGTACTCACTACTCGCTACTCCCATACTCGCTACTCGATACTCACTACTCACTCCCCGCTACTCAATACTCACTGCTCACTACTTACTACTTCCTACCCGCTAGTCACAACATAGTCTCTAGTCACTAGTCGTAACTCACTAGTCACTAGTCACTAGTCACTCCCCACTGCTCACCAATCGCAACTCACCACCCACTATTCGCTACCCACTTCTTACTACTCACTGCTAACTACTCCCTACCTCCAACTCCCTACTGACTACTCACTACTCGCTACTCCCTACTCGTTACTCACTAATCACTACCCACTACTCACTACTCACTACTCTGTACTCACTACTCACTACTGACTACGCCCTACTCGCTCCTCACTACTCACTACTCGCTATTCCCTAATCGCTACTCACTACTCACTACCCACTGCCACTACCCACTACTCTCTATTCATCACTACTCACTACACACTACGCACTACGTACTACTCAGTACTCAGTACTCAGTACTCACTACTCGCTACTCACTACTCATTACTCACTACGCACTATTCACTACTCACGACTCACTACTCACTACTCGCTGCTCACTACGCACTACGCACTACCCACGACTCACAACTCACTAATCACTACTCGCCACCCACCACCCAGTACTCACTACCCACTACTCACTACTCCCTACTCCCTACTCGGTACTCACTACTCGCTACTCGCTACTCACTACTCACTACTCACTACTCGCCACTCACTACTCACATATCAGTACACACTACTCACTATTCCCTAGTCACTACTCCCCACTCCCTACTCCCTACTTCCTATTTGCTACTCACTACCTTCTGCTCACTACCCAATACTCACTACTCACTACGCACTAACTCACTACTCACTACTCACCACTCCCTACTCCCAACTCCGTGCTCCTTACACGAGGGGGGGGGTCCGAACCCCCCCCACCCTTTCCAGCGCCAAGGGGGGGAGGGGGGGGGGGATCTGGACCCCCCCCCCCCCCCTTCAAGGGAGGGAGGGGGGGGGTCGGGACCCGAGATAAGGTGTTACTGCGGCCCGTTGGTTGTTACTGCGGCCCGGTGGGTGTTAGTATGGCCAGGGGTCCTCCGGAGTGTATTAATTATCGAATACGGTGAAGGGGGGGGGGGGGGGGGGGGGGGGGGGGGGGGGGGTGCCAAAAAAAGGCTCCCGCCCCCCCCCCCCCCCTTCACCGAAGAGCCTCTCGGAAGAGCCTCTGGTGCTCTCCGAAGAGCCTCTTGGAGCCGCCGAAGACCTTCTTACAGCCGCCTAAGAGCCGCTTGGGCTCTCCGGAGAGCCTCGTGGGGCCTCCGAAGAGCTTCTTGGGGCATCCGAAGCGCTTCTTGGGCTCTCCGAAGAGCCTCTTGGGCTTCCCGAGATATTACGACTACTACGACTACGACTACGACTACGATTACTACTACTACTACTACTACTACTACTACTACTACTACTACCACCACTACTACTACTACTACTACTACTACTACTACTACTACTACTACTACTACTACTACTACTACTACATATACTACTACGTACTACTATTACTACTACTACTACTACTACTACTACTGCTACGACTACTACTACTACTACTACTACTACTACTACTACTACTACTACTACTACTACTACTACTACTATTACTACTAATACTACTATTACTACTACTACTACTACTACTACTACTACTACTACTACTACTACTACTACTACTACTACTACTACTACTACTACTACTACTACTAACTACTACTACTACTACTACTACTACTACCACTACCACTACCACTACCACTACCACCACCACCACCACCACCACTACTACTACTACTACTACTACCACTACTACTACTACTACTACTACTACTACTACTACTACTACTACTACTACTACTACTACTACTACTACTACTACTACTACTACTACTAGTTCTCGTCGTCCCTAGCACCTTAGGGCTAGCACTCCCTAGCGCCAGTACTTCCTAGGGCTAGCACTCCCTAGCGCCAGTACTACCTGGCACTCCCTCGGACTAACACTCCCTAGGACTAGTATTCCCTAGGGCTGGTACTCCGTAGTGCGAGTACTCCCTACTACTACTGTTACTGCTACTATTCCCTAGGGCTGGTATTCCCTAGGGCTGGTATTCCCTACTACTAGGGCTGGTATTCCCTACTACTAGGGCTGCTACTACTATTCCCTAGGGCTGGTATTCCCTACTACTACTGCTACTGCTACTACTACTACTACTACTACTACTACTACTACTACTACTACCACCACTACTACTACTACTACTACTACTACTACTACTACTACTACTACTACTACTACTACTACTACTACTACTACTACTACTACTCTACTTCTTCTTACTACTTCTCGTCGTCCCTAGCACCCTAGGGCTAGCACTCCCTAGCGCCAGTACTTCCTAGGGCTAGCACTCCCTAGCGCCAGTAATTCCTGGCACTCCCTCGGACTAGCACTCCCCAGGACTAGTATTCCCTAGGGCTGGTACTCCGTAGTGCGAGTACTCCCTAGGACGAGTACTCCCTTGGACGAGTACGCCCTAGGGGTTGTGATTCCTAGGACTGGTACTCCCTGGGGCTAGCACTCCCTGCGGCTAGTACTCCGTAGGACTAGTACTCCTTATGAACGATATTACCTAACACCAACACTACAGCACCGTTGTACTACCACACTACAGTACTACTACCACAATACCAGTACCACAACACCACAACACCACAACACCGCTACCACAACACCACTACACCGCTACCACAATACCACAACCACAACACCACAACACCGCTACCACAACACCACTACCACAGCACCACTGCCACTACCACAACACTACTACCTACTAACAACTCAACAACACTACCAACACCACACCACTAACACAACACTACCAACACCACACCACTAACACAGCACACCACTACCAACACCACACTTCTAACACAGCATACAGCACAACCAGCCACTACCAACACCACACCACTAACACAACATTACCAACACCACACCACTAACACAGCACAGCGACCACCACACCACTAACACAGCACTACTACCACGTTGGTTCCAGGTGGGAGTTACTGTGGCCACTTTTGCCTGCGCGGGAGCGAATTCCCTTAGGGGTTGCGAATCTCTCCAGATCTAACATGAGATACCTTTACATATTACTTTTCATTGAGCGGCCTGCGCGGGCCACAGTAACTCCCATCCCGCCGCGCGACGGGCCACACTAACACCCAACGGGCCACACTAACACCCAACGGGCCACAGTAACAACCGGTCGCGTCGGGACCCCCCCCCTCCCTAAGGGGGGGGGGAAAGGGGGGGGGGGTCCGGACCCCCCCCCCCCCCCTTGAAGGGGGGGACGGGGGGGGGGGGTTCTGAACCCCCCCCTTTAGTGTATTCAGGGAGATCCACTGGCGCACTTTCAAAAAGAGGAACAACAAAGGAAAAGGAGGGAGGAACACGGGCACAAAAAGGGAGGGGCAGGAGGAAAAGGAGGATGAGGAGGACCTAGACCCCTGACGTCATGTTTTTTTCGTGATGTCGGCCCCCAAAGGTCTCGACCCATTCGGCCAGTTTTTCATCCTGAGTCGGTTTTGACGACCCCGAGGCCCGGCAAATGCCACCAGAGGCTGAAAATGGCGCAACACCTCCAGTCATGAGTTTTTCATGACCCGAGGGGGTCTGGGGAGGGAGGAGGACAGGGAGGTGGCCTTGTTCAGGCCTGTCCCCGGGGGCGGCTTCGAGCTGCCGTCCGGGTAGACGCACACCTCGCCCACCTCGAGGCGTGCGGGCCGGGCCCGAGCTGTTTCGTCTAGCAGCGGGGGGGGGAGGGGGGCCACGACCAGCCTGTCCCTGGGCCAAGAGAGTGGGGGAGGAGGAGGAGGAGGAGGAGGAGGAGGAGGAGGAGGAGGAGGAGGAGGAGGAGGAGGGGAGGAGGAGGAAGAGGAGGAGGCGGAGCGGCGGAGGCGGTGGAGGGAGGAGGAGGAGGAGGAGGAGGAGACGGAGGAGAAGGAAGAAGGAGGCGGGAGCAGGAGGGAATGATGAGGATGAGGAGGATGAGGGAGATGAGGATGAGGATGAGGATGCATGATGATGAGAAGATATGATGATGAGTGAGGAGGAAGGGGAGGAGGAGGAGGAGGAGGAAGAAGAGGAGGAGGAGGAGGAGGAGGATGGGGGGAGGGAATGAAAGAGGGATGAGGGAGGGATGGAGGAATAGGGGGAGGGAGGGAGAGAGGGATAGAGGGAGAGAGGCGGGGGTGGGGACCCACTCGGGTGCCCCCGGGCATTTCTCGGGGGAGGGAAGAAGGGGGGGAGGGAGGCAGGGAGGAAATGAGGGAGAGTGGGAGGGAGGGAGAGAGGGAAGGAGGGAGGGAGGGAGGGAGGGAGGATGAGGATGATGATACAAAGAGGGAGGAGGAGGATGAGGAGGAGGAGGAGGAGGAGGAGGGGGAGGAGGAGGAGGAGGAGGAGGAGGAGGAGGGAGGGAGGTGGGGAGGAGGAGAGGTGAGGAGGAGGAGGAGGAGGAGGAGGAGGAGGAGGAGGAGGAGGAGGAGGCGCACCCCTGGCGAGCAGATCCTTCCCCGCGCGCTTGCAGCACCAGGGACTGGAAGATGAAGATCAGGAATATGGAGCCGTGGCAGGCTCTGCTCTGATTCTCTAATCAGTGGGAGGCTGGATGACAGGAGGGGCCGAAGAGGGGAAGCGGGACAGAGAGCAAGCGAATGACGCGAGAGCGACGAGCAGAAGCGCGCAGGCGGCCATGCAACAGGGAACAGGCTCGAGCGGAAGCAACAGGGCGGCTCCTAACCACTTGATAGACACTATGCAGCATATCGACAGCAGTGGCATGAGAAATTAGACACGGAATGGATGAGATATCAAAGCGCTGTGGAAAAAAAAGACAGAGAATGGCTCAGATCCCCAACTCACGGGCAGATGAGGAAGAAGGCGACGAACGAATGGCACAACAGCAGGGCATATAGCATAATGTAACATGGTGTCTCCATTTCTGCAGCCGCACCCGAATCTACATAATGCAATCGATTGCCGATATCTTCTGGTAGTGTTCCAAGCGTTAAACATGCTTTTGACGACAGCCGTGATGATATAGGTGGGGCACTTGTGCTTTTCCAAAAGACCGAGACGAAACCAAGCATTTTGAACTTCCATGGGGGAGATAGACCCAATAATCTTATGAAGCCGAGGTGCGATAATTGCCAAGATACTTCTGGCCTCCGGGTCCCTGGCCCTGATGAGGACGCGAGCAACCTTTCTTTGGGCCATCTTGGGGTCCACTTCTTCCAGGAGAACGGGGTATTCCAGGAAGAACTTGAGGTAGATTTGCAGAACCGGAAAAACAGATATATTCATTCAAATATGGGTTCCACCTCCATGTCAGATTAAAGTAGTCGCCTTCAAGGGTGTCCTGGAAGCATTGGTAGAGCCGCTGGAAACTGTCGGAGTTGTGAGCACATCTGATCAAAACAGCTTTTGCCATCACTCCCAAGTCATGGCACTGCACTGGATGACCTAGTTCAGTCATCCGCTTCAGAGCTTCAGGCGGAAAAGAATGCCGTGGGCAGCAGGTGAGAAGCTGGTGGCTATCCTTCTCGTTGTTTCTCGCTTGTTTGGTGATGGGGTAGAACTGGGCGATGCGTGAGGGAATCGGATCACAATAGCGGTTGGAAGCGACGATGGACGAGGTGAACCCCCGACCGAGACTTTTGACCTCCCCCGCTCTGCTTCTCATTTTGCTGCTCACCTGAAGCCAAGCGCGCTCTCTGGCACCGCGACCGACAGGGACCCCAAGCGTCGCGACCATGTCCGCCAGCGTAAAACCGTCGATGTCGAGGCCGTGCTCGAGAACTTTCTGGCGGATCTGATCTCTGGTGTACTTTTTGTGCAGCATGATCATGCACTTGCTAATGTTCAGAGAGAGGCCCGACATAGGCCCAAAGTCCTGAATATCACCAATGACTCTAGGTAGTATCTCAAATAAGTTGCATGCAACCACAGAGAGATCGTCCGCGAAGGCCGACGGCGTAAAAGGATCTCTAAGTTGTCTAAGTCCTATTGCGCGCAGTAGAGGGTCCATAGCGAAGGCCAACAATATCCCACTAAGCGGGCAGCCTTGACGAATGCCCCGTTCAGCCAGAAATCACCGAAAACGTTCATTCCCGATGAAGATATAGCATGCACAGTTGGAATAGAGAGCTTCCAGTGCCCCAATCACAAGTAGGGGTAGACCGTGCGCGCGCAACACCGCAAAGAGCCAGGCCTGGAAGACCGAGGCGAAGGCAGCCTTCAGGTCGAATGTGGCCCCTCCTATTCCGTCTCCCCCGACAAGAACGCCCCATTGAGCAAGCGAACCTTCAAAGTCATAGATGTTGTCCACCATCCCCCCCCCCCCCCCAAAATGAAACCTCTCTGGGCCCCATGGAGCCGCTCCTGGACGACGGGCTTCAAGGGGAAGGCCGCGCTGGATGCCATGAGTTTTTGATCCGTATTGCTCAGGGCCAGAGGCAGTGTGCCTTCGCAGCCTTGGTTGCTTTGCCGTCGAGGGGGATCTCGCCTTTCGGGGGAAAGACTAGCTTGCGCATGTTAAAAGACTCGTGAACTGCTCCACCAGACATCAGGTGGACATAGTGCTGGTAGAGAGCATCCTCGACTACCTGGTTACCACACTGCCAAACCGAATAAGGTAGCCCGTCTGGGCCGGGAGCCGAATCGACCCTTGAATGGGGCAGATCATGAAATTGCCCAGGAGAAATCACCCAGGGGTAGCGTGGATGGGAAACCGTCGTATACTGGTAGTTGTCATCAGGGATCCGCGGGATCAGGTCCAGAAATCTTTTGGCATTCTCCATGTTCGGAACTCCAGGACTGAAAACTTTCCCCCAATATTCAGCAAGTGTGGTAGCACAAGCACGCGGGTCAGAGTGGGCAGTACCATCAGGACCAACCACCGCAGATAGGCGGATCTGCCGTCTAGAAGCCCTCCAAGCCTTCCCAAGACGCTTGACTCGAGCAATGTGAGAGTCCCGAACGGCCACTGGAAGCTGCCGAGCTGACAATTCGCGCTCGTAGTCATCAAGCACGTCCCGCATAAGAGCTGCTAGCTGCGTGTGAAAGCCACTTACATTCGTCCAGACACCGACGTCGGTGGCGAAGAACTGCGCGAGGATGGGGTAGGCCTTGACAGCCTGGCGACACACCTTCTCCTGTCCTGACCGAGCGGCTCTCAAGAGTTTAGTACAACATGAAACCTTCTCCGCGGAGGACCGAGCCCCAAGGGAAAATACAGCAAGCCGAGTTTGGGCAGCAGCGTGCCTCATCCAGTCTTTTATCTCTAAGAGCCGTTCAGGAGGATTCTGAGACAGGTCCCCGTCTACAACGCACGTGTCCAACGTGGTCCGAAATCTATCATGTCGAGCGATCCACCGAGGAATTATGGGAAGTTCAGGCCGAGCGAGTAGCGGAGATAGACATAGATATACTGGTGCGTGATCTGATGGTTTCGTAAAGTCATGAATTGGCCACGTAGTGCCACTTTGAGGGTAGAGGTCGAGGAGGTCGGCGGTAGGGGTGCTCACATAGATGCGATCCAGACGTGCTAGAGTTCGTGTATCCGAAGTACGAGCCCGAAACGTGAACGACGACTGCACAATCTCCCCCATCATCGGGAAGCGCTCATTAAATGCACTTGCAAGCCGGCTGTGAGATGCACGTTCAACCCCATCGTGCACTTGTAGCCGCGCTTCACCACTCTCCAGGTAATTGAAACCACCAAGAAAAAACGCTGCAGAGGAAGAAGTAGGCGTCATATGATTTCTAATTCTAGACATCTGTTGTTTGATAATCGATTCGTGAAGCCCAGGAACGAGGTGAATGTTGAATATCCGAAGCCTTCGATCGCGAGAAGAGAGAGTGAGGACAGAGATGCGGCCCTTCTTCAAGGCCTTGAAACGCACTGTGTCGAACTGCTGGATGAGAGATTTAGCCACACTGGTCACCACTCCACCCCTTCCCACAGAGCTGCAGAATGACCCAAAGTGTACGTGCGACTTAATGTCCCGAGATAGTGTCACGAGGTCCCCACGGTGCCCATGAGTTTCCTGGAGAGCTACGATATCATATTTACTGGTAAGCGATTGGGCTGATGTATATGTGCTCCTTTGTGTCCTCAGATCCCCATCTGTTGACCCAAAGAGAGTGCGACAATTCCAGCTGAGCATCCCCAGACGACAGCTAGGAAGAAATGGTACTGAACTATGACCCTCAGCTCCTGATGACCCAGACGATCCAGAAGAGGAAGAGGAGGAAGATGAACCTGACGAGGTGGAACTCGAACTCCTGCACCCCCGAGGAGGAGACGAATAACCTGATGGAGAGGATGTAGAAGAATATGAGGATGTTGAAGAGCTCCTGCTACTCGCTGGAGTAGTGGCTCTTCTCCCAGAGCGTGCCGAGGTGCGCCCTCGAACTTGAGCGGGAAGACGTCTGTTGTCAAGAGACTGCGTTGCCTCTGGGTCAGTTTGTCAAGTGTACATGTCATCATGGTCCTGCATCTCCTTCTGCGAGGTCTCGATGGCAGTGTGAATCTGCTCCGCTGAGACCCCCCAGTCCTGGCAGTCCTTGATGTTCGGCGTGAAGTTGAAGAAGTCGACGTCGCCTCGCTTGGTCGCTGGAGTAGCCGTCGCCAGAGTCCAGACATCATCATCCGTCGGGATGCGCAGCTGACCTTTGGAGCCATCACCTCCAAGACGGGTAGAAG